GCCGGCCGTGCCTCATAGTCTTGCAAGCGACCCCTCAGCCGCCTGCGCCCTTTGTTGTGGGCGACTGCGCTTCTAGGGGGGCCAAGCTGGAGGGAAGCGGGACGGGGTGGGAACTGGCGAGGGCGGGAGGAGGTGGAGGCTTCGGCCGCGGGCAGAGGCGGGCTCCCCAAGCGGGCTGACAGCATGTGAAATCCTCCTGCAGAAGGAAAGGCCGCCAAGCCCGCCTTTGGGGATGAAGCGGATCAGAGCCTGCTCTACAAAATGACGGGGCTCAACCTGCAGAAGGTTTTTAGGCCGGTGAAGAAAGAGCTTAAACCACCCAAGTACAAGCTGATGACAGAAGCGCAGCTGGAAGAGGTAGGCTGCTCTGCTTCCATTTGAAATACGTTTTAGTTTTAGCAAAAAGCCTCTAACAGTCCATATTTCTGCTTTCTTTAATGCTGCTGTTGAAAACATTTTCGATTCTTTCCTTTGTTTCAGGTAATTTCTTAAATTAGTGTAAATCAGTTTCTTTGCTTTAAATGGTCTGCTCTGTTGGCCAAAAAGTAATTGCGTCTTATTAATAGATGGATGTATGTGCCTTGAAAGCTAACTGTTTATGCTTTGGGCAAAATTTAACATGGAGAAACACCTGAAGTAGACTTGGTGTTTGCAGTAGTAGATGTCGATCTTAGTCTTGGAATTTCTTCCAGAAATTTGCACAAGTTACAGTAGTAGTGTATGCTCCATGTATGATTAAATGAGTATCTCACTTCTTCTCAACTGCAGAAGGAAAGAAAAAATTATATCTAAATTTTTTATTTTAAACTGCTTCTTTTTTTTACTAAGGCCACAAGAAAAGCCATTGAGGAAGCTAAAGAAAGACTCATCATGCCCCCCGTTTTGAAGGAACGAGAGCCAATTGATGATGTCTTAGCAGAAGACAAATTCCTTGAAGGAACTGAAACTACAAAATACGTGTTTACAGATTTAACTTACTCCGTTCCTCATCGTGTAAGTAACAATGTATTTATTTAAGAGCTTTTAATTCTTAATTTCAAAAATAAGCTTTAGGTTTTAATGAAATGTAGTTATAGCAGCCTACAAAAAAAGGCTGAGGAGTTGTAAATTCAGCCTGGTACAAGGCAATGCAAAGACATGTATTTCCAAAAGTTTCCTTCTAACTGATAGCAATAAATTACATTCCAGTGACCAAAAGCAAGCGCACAGCATGGGGAGCTGTGGGACAGTTAATTATTGTGAAAGCAGATGCTTGTGTTTTGCCGGGAGTGCTTAATTCTTCCATATTCATAGAAGCTTCCTGTGGAATTGGATTGCTTGGTACTGTGCATAAACCAAAAGATGGAGCTGCTTCCCAGCTGCAAAAATCTGGTGGGAAGCCAAGTCAATGATAAATGAATTCACACGAAAGCTGCAGAAGAAATAGTTGTCAAATACAGTGGTGGAGTACAGCGATAAAGATGACAACTAGATTTCCTTGTACAATGAAACATCTAGGTTGTCTTAAGTACCAGGAATAAGAGGCTGGAAAAAAGCTTAACAAATAGTTATGACTTTAAGAAGTCTATGTGGTACAAACAGACATACAGTGATGATCCTGTGAGAAGAATCACTGAGACTTCCATCTGTTTCTCCATTCGAGAGCTCTCTCCAGGAATCAGCTGCTTATTCTTCTGCCTCCGTGAACTGAAAACTTTCTCATCTATTTTACTTTGTGCAGCCCTAAAGCAAATCTGGTTGTGAACCAATCTGAGTGTATTGTTCTGCTTGTATTTTTTGTTTTGTACTTGCTCTTACTTGATTCTAGCCCCGACCTCTGAAACAAAGATAAAGTACAAGACACTTCAGTTAATTTTGTATGCATTATTAAATGCATAAAATCAGGCCAGCAGCAACACTAACTCTTTTCTCTGGATATTATTTATGTTACCTGTCTAAAATTCAGAGCTGCAGCTTTTAGGGTAGGTGCATGCACAGGTATGTTGAACACTAAATTTAACATGCAAATATAGCACTTAATTAGCAAGTACCAAGGGAGAAATGATGAATTTAGCACATAGCAACAATCGAAAATAAGCTGGTATTCTTTGTGTGGGTTTAGGTGCAGGAGGACTTTGCCAAATAAGGATCATTTTTACCATGGCTCTGGCTATGAAGAGAGGAGACTTTGGTAGATAATGCTCTTTTTTACCTTCTTTTCAGGAGCGTTTCATTGTAGTTAGAGAACCCAATGGTGTATTACGCAAAGCAACCTGGGAAGAACGAGACAGAATGATACAGATTTTCTTCCCAAAAGAAGGGCGCAGAGTTATTCCTCCAGCGCTATTCAAGGATGAACACCTTGGGGTAAGATCTTCCGGGTTTTGAAAACTTAATTGTGATCTAATAGTTGAACTCTGCTATTTGGAGAGAGCAGCTGTGAATAAGCCAGTCTGCTTGGATGTTTTAAGCTGCTGTTTTGAACAGTTGCTTATCATTGTGACTTACTGAAAATACTTAAATGAACAAACTTATAATAGTTAAAATACTTACAATAAAGTGCCATGTTGGGACCAGGTAAATTCTTGGTAATGTGTAAATATTCTGTTATACCATAAATCTGTGTTTAGTTCTTATGTTTAATCTGAAAATGTGAACTGGTGCTTCAGAAACAAAAAAATCAAGAAACACTGTATTAATATCAAAGCAGTTACTGCACGTTTACCCATTTTTTGTATTGTGATGAGGGGTTACTCACTGTAAGGATTGCCCAGAACAGAAACGTTGTGGCTGCTGTTTTGAAGTTGGAATGGTGCAATACAAAATCTCTTCCTAAATTTGAACTGTTGTTTTAGGCTGTGTTTCAGCAAGACCGACACGAGGATATCCTTAACATGTGCATTGCTCAGTTTGAACCAGATTCACCTGACTATATCAGAGTGAGTTCACTTTTTATTTTTCTAATAAATAACAAAATTAGTGAAGAACTTCAGGGGTTGTTTTGTAAACCTGAGTATTACTGGGTGATCAAAGTTGTTCATATGTTTTCTTTCCCCCCCCCCCGACAGATAACGTGTTACCCTTGTGATCTTTTTTTTCTTGCAGAAAAGTAACACAGAATCCTAAGTAATTTTCAACAGTACAGAAAGAACTACAGCTGTGAAAAAAAGTCTTTATATTAATATTTTTTGTATCAAATCAAAATTGGTAACACCCATAAGTGGCCACAAACAGAGTTGTGCTACTGGAGTCACTAACCACAATGTTAGGGTTTGAAAGGATGATGTAGCTAACTGATGAAGTGCATTTGAGAGCAGTGTACACAAAATCAAATCATATTTTTGACAAAGACCAGGTACAAAACCACACTTCCAGATGAAATACTTAAATTTAAGAACTGGTGAATGTATTAATCTACACTTGTCTTTAAAATGTTTTACTTCTATTTAAGCTGTCACAATTCCTTGAATCATTGAGAACATAACCTCTGAACCTGCGTTTCACTGCTTTCAAGTTCTGATCTGTTCTTTAAGGAGAAAAAAGCACAAAGAGGTGAAATTTTACTTTGAAGAAAAAGTACTTGAAAAATTGCCCAGCAGAAGTTATGTACCTCCCTCTCCAAACTAGCAGTACATAGCAGGTATCTAGCTTCCTCCTGACATAAGAATGTCTGTTCCTAAATACCAAGAACTGGTTTATAGCAGGGTTACCCTCAATTGTAACATGTCAAAAGCTTTAAGGGAGCAGCATTCAGCCTGTGGCTTACTCCTGCTGTTTAGGGAGGTCTGAAAATGGGTTAAAAACTGTGAATTACGGGTAAAGGAAAGGAAGTATTGTTGAGCTCTGGTTGTGTTACTGAAACCTTTTTTGTGTATAGGTTCATCATCGGACATACGATGACATTGAGAAGCACGCCAAATACGATCTGCTGCGTTCAACAAGGCACTTTGGAGGAATGGTGTGGTATCTGGTGAACAGAAAGAAAACAGATGGCTTACTAATAGATATGATCAACAGAGACCTGTAAGTGGTGTTTGTCAGCTATTAATTCTGTTTATCTCAACAAACAGAAAACAAGTTCCATTGTCTGGAAATAAAACCCAGTGTCTCTGCAAGATGTACAAAGGTTTCCATTTGCAGGAAATTTTAGGCTCCATAGATGCTGAATGGAAGCACCAACAACAGTCCATGAAGTGGTAGGATATTAAACTACATCTTTGCTAGAATTAATCTTTTATAGTAGTTGGGTTTTTATTTGTTTCTGCTGTAATTGTCAGTACATTTCCAGCTCTGGGCATTACTGATTTTGAAGTCTAAGTTTTATGCTACTGAGCTCAGTTTTGACTTAAGATTGACATGCTCTGGCCTGTAGAGCTATTCATAAGTAGCTTAGGAACAGGTAGATGAACTTTCACTTTAAATGGATGTATTTCCTTAAGATATGGTGCTAAACTCATTCATAACTCCCTAAAGCAAATAATATTAACTGTTCAAAATGTCACTAGAGCTAGGAGAAGCTTGTGAAATGAATTGCAGTGATGGTACCGTTCATTTTCTGTTGTCAAAGTTAGCAACTTTTAACAGGTGGTCACATCTTTTAAATCAGAGGATCTGAAGAAATACAGCAAATTTCCTTTTTCAGTTTTGGAATCCAATTAAAGGGAAAATCAAAATACTTGGACAACTTAAGTTACCCAAGTCTGGAGTCTTTACCTGTCACCCACCCACTTCTGGCTTATGCTGGGTGTCACAGTGTAAAACATGCTAGTTACTGTACTGTTAGGAAGCTTCTCTTTGGCACAGCTGTTCTACTAAGTACTTGTTACTGAGTAATTGTGTTTTACAGAGATTTACTACTGCTGAACAGGCTTAACCTGCAGCATGGATAAACTTATGTACCTTGCCTAAGGCACCTTGGTGTTCATGTGCTTCTGCTCTGTTATCTCATGTGCAATAGATGATGGGATGCCTGTTTAGCTGTACATTGTAATTAACTGCATACTTAGCAAAAGTAGTTGTTTATGGAAGCCTGCAGTGTGCAAAGTACACCACAAAGTACACTTTCCTCTAAAAAGTGTTAAATGAAAGCAATTGCTACAACTGAGCCTTTATTTGTTTAGGCTGGATGACGCCACAAGTTTAATCACACTGTATCACATGCTTCATCCTGAATGTCAGTCAGCAAAAGCAGCTCAAGAAGGGAAACTGCAAGGAGCTGATCTGATCAAGGTATGCGTTTTTACTTCAATGCTACTTAACTACAGAAGAGAAAGCTTTTAAACAGCAGATATTGAACTAACTGTTGAACATGCCAGGTTGGTTTTTTTATTTTTAAAACTATAGCTGCACCAGGATTTCAGTTGTAGCTGGCTGATCTACCAGTGGTATGATGTCTCAATATGTAACTGCACTCTTAACTGCACATTAATTTCTGTCCTCTCATGTTTGCAGGTATTTGTGAAAACTGAATCACAGAAAGAAGGCTACATACAACTGGCTCTCCAGGCTTATGAAGAAGCAATGGCTTCTACAGCTTCATGAAATAAACCTTAATCAAAACTTTTAAGTCTGTTTAGAAACACTCTCTGTACAGGATACCACAATAAATACTTCTGACAACTGACTGTTCTAGGATTTCTTTACTAAGATGTGTAAGAATCACTACAGCAGATGCTTTCAGAAGTTCTATAAATAAACTTAGAGAAGCCATCACCACTTGTTTTGAGGTGCCAACATAGCCCAAGTTTAATTCCTTTACTGTTGCATCTCGAATCTAAAGAATTGTCTGCAAGTAACTTTACTTCTTGGAGTAAATACAGGGGCCTGGACAGCTTCATTTAGGAGAGTGGGTAACATCTGTCTTTTAACAGAGATTCTGTTCTGTTACATCTTTTAGCTAAAACTAGTGTCTGAAAGAGCAGCTGAGCTACTCGTTGTTAACAGATAAAAGCTAACAGCACAGTGAAAAAGTAACTGTACACCTAAGTGTACACGCTAAGAAAAGTCAGGTTAAAATACTAATGCTTGGCTGCTATGCTCCCATCTGTTACAAATACTTGCAACACAATATAGAAGCTGGGTTAAGAGTACTAGAATTACTAGTAAATGGAGGACTGAGGAACAGTATGTTGAAAAGGGTTTATTGAGATGCTTGATAAAGGAAAACATCATTAGTATGTACTGGAACAGGCCTACATCCTGAATTTCAACATACTGGAAGCTGATGTTTTATGCAGTTTCTGGGTCAACCCTTCTTCCTACACGTACATGGTTCACTTGCAGTATATAAAAAACAAATTAACTTGGAGCACATAGTCCACAGAACTTCATTCTTTTGTTTGAAGTAATTGATTTGGTCATCTAAAAAGTAAGTTCACTCATCTAAGATCTCTTCATCCAGATTGATATCTGTGGTATCAATATCCTCCAGATCCAAGTTATCTAAGTCATCTTCCAAGTCCAGCAGTGTCTAGGAAAAAACAGGACAAGATTATGGGGATACAAGGATGGTTATAACATGTTCAGCAGCTTACACAGTATGATTCTGTGTGATGGATGTGCACATTCTGCCAAACACCTAACTGAGGCACTCAGGTGGAAGAAATGTTAAAATAAGCTGTAGAGAAGAGCCACCTTCTTGGTTAAAAAGCATCTCAGAGTTGCAACTTTTTACCATGTTCTGACCAACTGTGTTTGGACTTCACACTTTGTTCCTTGTAAATCCACAAGGCTGAAGAATCTAGGAAGGGATCCCTCTACCCTGTACTGGTCCTAAGCTGTCTAGGTCTATTAATATAGAAAGTGACACTTTCCAATAGCTTGGTTTGATCACATTAGTTGGCGTCTTCAACATAAAATGAGTTTAGTGCTTGTACTTCCCTTCATAAAATATATTTCAGTACCTTTTGGTCTCTTGTTGGAAGCTGATCAGAATTCTGCAAAACTGTCTTCATCACTTCTGGTTTAAGAGATGGAATGGGTTCTTCAGCCTTCTTCTAATGAAAAAGATTAAGATCTTCTAAATTTAAATTCTTTCAACAAAAGCAAGTAAACAGTAGTAGACCTATAACCCCCTTTTCCAGTGGTTCTCTTTCAAAGTTTCCCTCAGTAATTCTTGAGCCACACCTTCACAGCCAGTAAGTTTTCTAGTCCTCACTGCACTGGAGACTACCATTTCACATCCAGTTTATTTAAAGCAGACCACTTAAGTGATGGAACTGATACAGTGAAAACAACCTTTAGAAAGTATCAGTTAATACTTAAGTGCTGTTAGAAAGTGATTTTCAGCAGGAAAGAGATCAGGTTACTTGAAAGTGTCACTGAAGTTTTAGAAAAGGCAGTAAATCTTAGTTCTGTTGATGGGCTTTGTGTTCCTCAGTTTCCACTGCGGTTTTTACAAGTTCATAGCCTCAAAGAGCTGTGCCAGTGATCTTCAAGAAACTCTAACATTCTGATTTTCATGTTCCAGTTTAAAGTGTATTTGACATAAGCAAAAACCAGTTGTCATCTTCCGTTTAAGCTCTGAAAACAATTAAGTGTTCATTTCAATGTATATTCTTACACCTTATATTGAAGTCATGTGTCTTCTACATAATACTTGGACAACCGAGCAAAATCTGTTTGAGTTATTTCAAATATTAACTAGAACATATTTTCAAATAATTGAGCAGGATTCCTAGTTATAGAATACTCTTATTCTGTAACCATGCACACTAGCAAAGAATATGAAGTATTTTTAATTGCTGTAATAGGCAAGAGTTTCCAGGTTCCAACTACTGAGCTTTTAGAAGACCACCAGTGTTTGTATGTGCAAATGAATTGTTTTTTCTGCAGGATGATTTCAATGGTAAGACTCTAGAGTCACTCGCACTAACAGAAGATGACAAGAAGTAATTGCACAGTCAGGAAGTCATTAGTAGTTACAGAAGTGGATTAAGAACATGGAACTCTGCTGCAGAGCTTACAGTCAAGCCAGTAAGAGCAATAACTTGTCCATTAAAGGTGAAGTATTCTCCAGGGTAGATGTTACCATTCAATAGCAAAGTTGCTTCTTCCCTTAAATTCATCATGGAATAGTAACACTGACCTGAGATGCCATTACTCCAGAAGGCTCAAATCCTTTTGCTTCTTCAAGTAAGTTTCTTTCTTCATTTGGCTAAAAATAAAAAAGGGGGCAAACAAAAAATAAAGACCCAAACAAAAAAAAACCAGACAAAACCCAAAAACCACCACCAAAACATAAGTTCATGGAACGTTTAGGTGGTTGCACTGACTTGCTTAAAGCTGATTTCACACAGCTCAAAATGTTTTTCTTCTGGAGACAATAAGAACTCTCACGTCCTACTTACAGTGACAAGGGGGTATTCCCTGGCTGGCCGCAAGTCAGCAAGGCTTTGTTTCACGTACTCTTCAGCCACAAAAGCTTCCTTTAATCCAGGGAAAAGATTTTCATATTCTGTAGGATCAGCAAGGGACTCAGCAGCTTTTTGATTGACTTTAGAGAGATTCTCCCGCCACAGTTTCACAACCCTGGAGACGCAAACCATATCTGTCATATACAGTGAAATCCAACAACACTATTCACGCTCTGCATATCCTTTGAAGTTACCTTGAAACTTGACTTGGCAAGTACGTCCGTGCGAGAAAAGCAGCTTCTGGGAGACGCCCGGTTTTAATCAGAAGTTCCAAACACGAATCAAGCCTGAAAGATTTTCAAGTGTGATTTTAACCAGTAAATTTAATAAAGACAAGTGTTTGCATCGTCTGATTAGCTGTTTATTCTACTACATTAGTTTAAAGTACTTTCAGATTTTAAAAGTAGCAGCCATCATAAAATAGAATCAGTTTTTCTGAAAAGGCGCACGCCACAATCTTTCTCCGTGAGGTTTTAACTTAACTATAGTTTAACCATTTAAAGAATCCTGAGGTTCTTGGCACTTGAGAAAGCCGAACAGAACCATCCGAATCTGCTGCTTGCTACTTACTTTCCTTGCAGGAAGTAGCTCATAAATGCGACATTGTTCTTGCCATCTTTCTCTGCTCCTTCAGCTAACTTATTCACCATGTTAGCATTTCCTGAAGCTGTAGCCAGGAGCAGGAGTCCTCCGTAGTCTTGTGCATGGTGGAGACACTCCTGGGCCAAGCCAAACTGGCATTTACTAATGGCAAGCTCAGCAAGTTGCTTCCATTTCTGTTCCGACTAATTGCACAAAAAGAGAGGGGGAAAGAAAAACAAGAAAAATAACCCTCACGTTTCTGAACGGCATTTAAAGATATGCAGAGCATTCAATATCAAAATGCAAGTTGACTTGACTTTGGAAACTTAAACAGTAACAAACTCTTGAAGCTCCCAAGTTAACCTACCAAATGTAAGAAAGGCATTTGTAACTAAGTTAACATTCCTTATCATTAACTTTGTTATTTTACAACTGGAACTGTTAAATCAATTCTCTGAAAAACGGCTGTGGGACAAATCACCGCCTGTCAGTTTTCCTAGTGCAGCAGTTTAAGTTTGCCAAGGCTGGAACAAAGGCCTAGGGGCTTCAGTCCTGTCTTTCCTCCTCTCCTTGTCCATTATTGGTGATTCAGGCTTGGTTCTTGGCTCAAGTATTGTATTATATTCTCCAGGAGTTCCTGTAGCTTTCTTAGAGGAAAGCATTATTCTGTCCTCATCCCACAGCTTACAATCCTTTGAATTACAGGTAGAAGAGCTTCATCAAAGAAGCTGGAGGCATTTACCTAGTGTTCAGGGAGCTCTGCTGCATCCCCACATACCATTATCTTTTCTTACACGGCCTCTTAAATTCAGGCTAATACACAGAATTAGTAGGAAACATCAGAAATTATACTTTTACCTCTGCTTCCACTGCAAGCTGATACGCTATTTTTAATTCTCCAAGCTGAAGTGCAAGTTCAAAACGATGCTCTGGATCTGTAGATACTGCAAGGGCTTGTTGTTTGAAGCCCTAAAATAAAAATCTGAAAGTAAGACTGTTTTGTCAGGTCAAACAGCATCTTAGATGTTCTAACAAAAGCCCTCTAAGTGGAAGGTTACATTATTCTCAAATAAATATGAACAATTAACAAGAGTTTATGCTTACAGATAACATGACTATGTTTTGTTTAGCAAACTCTATTAGAAATGTGGATAAATTGATCTATTAGTTGCTGATAACCAAGAAGTAGTTTTCTTGCCTGTTTTTCAAGAAAATGTGCAACTCTGGTTCTCTGTTCTTTGGGAATTGTGGGAAGAACTTTGTCAGCCATACCGAAATCTCTTCTCATCACAGCAGTTTGATATTCAAGCACGGAGACCAGCAAAGAGTAGCTAACAATGTTTAGCTCTTTATCACCCAAATAAAGGCGGTTGTCCTTAGGGATGTACCCCAAAAGATACATTGTTCTGAAACAAAACAAAACATTCATCTTGAATAGATCTGCTACCAGATAACCTATAAAAAATCCAGAGGTTCTTACAGTAGCAACAGTGCACATATGAAAAGCTGCACTTTTACTGATGTACCCTTTCACATAACACTGTTCATTACCTCAAAGATCACATTACTGCCTCAGAACATACATTACCATGTGTAACAAAAAGCAGTAACATGGGGCAAGCAGGTGACAAGGTTCACCTTGTCCTCAGCACTTGCTTATAACCCGACACAGCAACTTACCTGTCTAAATGGGCAATAGTGACAATTTCTCCTCCAACGTAGTAGTTGAGTCTGTTCACAGAACTGGTGTAAATAAAGCAGTCACCTACCCACAGGCCTGTTTTCACAATCTCCTGAATCTCACCGAGAACCTGCAAGTTAAGATTCATTTAATTAGATGTATAAAAAAGTACTTTAGATTTAAAACTATTACTATTTTCCAAATTCAATGTAGCATTCTATACTTAAGGAAATAGTTGGGGAAGTTGCAAAAATAAATTCAGATACAGAAGTATGTAAATAATGCTTTTAATTTCACAAAAATGCCATAACACATGAAATCTCTACCTTAATTCTTAACTAATCCAATTACAAGTCTAGTAAACAAGCACTAAACTATGTGTTAAGCAACTTTCCTTCTGAAATCTGTGTGTGACATTTCACAGCATGAGGTTTTTTCACTTCTCCAACTTCAATAACATTTCAGAACTTGAAAACGGCAAAAAAAGTTTAAGCTACGTAAACACACTACACAACAGTGTGTTTTAAAAATAATCTCTGTAACTGTGAGAACAGTAAGCAGAAAGAAGAGAAATGCAGACACCAAGGTCTGTCATGCTGGGATTCAAAACAGGGATACTCTCCCAGAGAGCTCAAATAAAACAGTGCTCCTCAGACAGATGTGTGTGTGGTGCTCAGTGTTCTGGGAACTACCATTTAATAGGACCACATTAAGGACTAGATTTGCTATACTCTGGGAAGACTTGCTTCCATGATCTCCAATCCCATTCCTTTTTTTAAACAGAAGGTACCTCAAAAGCATCTTCAATTCCATCTTCAGTGACACCTTCATGTGTTTCTTGGGCTGCTGCAACTTTTTCTGATAGGTATTTCAGAATGAAGAAGGACTCTTCTGTAGCAATGCAGACAAGCTCACCCGAGTCAGACCAGAAAATCTGTATCATCAGAATCAATAATGACACTGTTTTAGAGACCCTGGGTTAAGAAAGGGTGATGTATAAATTAAGGTTAAAACATACTAACTCTAACAGAAGCTTTAGGATCTGAGAAGCCAACACATAGAGGGCTTTTTTTCCCCTTCTACTACATAAAGTAGTAACTTCCTAGCTTATCTCAGTTATGATTGACAGCTTGGCTTCATTCAAGAAAATCAGAAGTCTATTAAAATAAATAATAAATAATATAATAAAATCAGTAAACATAGGTAAATATCTTCAGTTCAATCTACAAACTTACGTGTTTGGGCTGAATTTCAATTCTGCGAATCAATTCTGTGTTTTCCCAGTCATAGAATGCCAAACCATTAACAGATCTGACCCCCAACAGGAAACCACCATAGATACCTGCAAGAAAATAAAGGTGGAATAAACCCATACTGTGCAAAAGAGGCACAAACATACCTACTTTAAAAGTAAATTCTTACCTTCTGCTCCAAAATCAGGTTTGAATGACTTCTTCTCCTTGAAGTTTTTAAATATCTTTACAACACTGTTGCTCTCCCTGATTGCATATCTAAGTAGGGATTACATTGTAAAAAAAAGAAAACCAAACAATTATTTAGCTTCCAAAATAGCATATTACTGAAGTCATACGCTGCTATAAATCAACTACATTTGACTGATCTTCAAAAATTAGTAGACTGCTACAAATGGAAAATTTTAAAAGCAGGACAGTTCATTATCCACGCAGGTTTCAGTCTCCAGGCCAGTTTACTGCTTGTACAGCCTGAAAACTAGTAGCAGTAAGTTTAAGTTAATACAGAAAGTATCTGCAACACTTACTCTGAAGAATCATGTGCCCATACGAACTCCTGTGCAGAACCAAAGCTCTTGTTTCTCAAAGCCATCGCCGTGTAGATGATGTATTCGCCATCACCACACACTACTACAAACCTAAAGCAGGAGGAAGATGCATTTACCCAATACCTGTATTCAGTTCAACAGGCATCATAAAGCTGACAAATTAACTTGAAAGCTAAAGACCACTAGCCCAATATAATCACTGCAAATGCAGAGAGAGTAAAAGAGCTTCCTGCATTCAAGAACTGTCACAGAACTCTATTTTTGTCTGCGTCATGTTGTTAGCTACTTGCTAATCCTCTCTTCCTTCTGGTCTCCACTAGGCAGCCCTTGTATACCTCTACCTGTTCTTTTAATTTAGCTTATCTGTTAACAAAAAACATTAAGAGAATGTGGTTTGCTGCCATTACCTTATACTTTTGTTTGTATACTTCTACCTACAGTGCCCAACTTCTGTTTAAGCTGTGAGCTCTTACAGGTGAAGCTTATTTCTTACTCTGGTTTTACAGCACCTGGCTCTGAGGACACCTTTTCTCCACCAGCAACACACACAACTGATTTTTTTTTTCTTCATTCAAAAAGTTTTCCAGGAGAAATAAAAAAAATAGTTAAGTATTTTGTTCTAAAATCTACTACCTGCCATTAGGGTTGTGCTGAATTGTCTGAGGATAGATTTCACAGCTCCCCATATCCTTTACAGCCAGCGGCAATCTTTCTCCATCTTTGATTTCAGCATCTCCCATAGCTTTTAAGTTAGCCTGTTGGACTTCTGAATGTTTAGCCCAAATTATTTTTCCATTTGCATCCATGGACATAGCAGGTTCTTCACGACCAAGCTGGGAAGCATAGCATAAGAATATAGTAATTGGAGAAAATACATTCTTTATTTTCTTTTCAGTTGAACATACCTAGCAAAATACTCTGCATCTGTCTATAAATGCCAATTAAAACACCAAGTTCAGTATTTTACATACTATCACAGAATCAGACATCAGTTGCTCTGTACACAGGACAGCGATGAATCACCATTTCTCACTTCAAGTCATTAACTGTACCTTAACGATAATGCTGCCTTCGTCATATCCCAAAGCCACGTTATTGGATCCTCTTAAACTGGCCACACACCACACTCTCTCCATACCGTAGTTGAGGGTACTTTCCAGGCGGTAAGTGCTTGAATGCCAAATGCGCACAGTTCCTAGAGGAGAAAGAAATACACGCCTCTTATCTCTTCTCTTAAGGCAAGGGCAGGTGTGTAGCCACACCATAAGAGGAGTTCTCCCATAAGTTCTTCCCC